AAATCAAGCCAACCTTAATATTGGGGTTCCGATTTTACTTTGTTATGCTCCTGGTCTAAAATTCCTTCCGATTCTTTTTGGATGTATGTTAGCCGGTATAACAGCTGTACCTATAGCTCCTCCAAATCTTGCAACTGCTGATAAAGATATAGCAAGATTTAAATATCTTTCGAAAACCACCAATGCAAAAATTGTATTTAGTGACAAAAATTATATGCTATACACGAAACTTTATGCGGCAAAAAGTTTTTTTGGAATGGCCAATAAAATAGATTGGCCAGAAGGGTTAATATGGGTTGAAGGAGAAAACGTTACAAACTCAAAAGATCTTTTTGATGAGAAATTAATTGAAGAAGTTGATTGTGAAAACGTTGCTGTAATTCAATTTTCGTCCGGTAGCACTGGTGATCCAAAAGGTGTCATGCTCACCCATAAGAATTTACTTCATAACGTGGATCTTATGCAACATGAAATTGGTTTAAATGAAGATTCTACGATCGCTTTTTGGGTACCTCAATTTCATGATCTTGGACTTATCGGTGGATTCCTTAATACTGTTCGAGGTGCTTGTAAATCATGCGTTATGTCACCTTTGACGTTCTTGCAAAAACCTGAATGTTGGCTTCAAATGGTAAATAATTTACCTTTTATCAAATTTATCATATTTATATATATATGTATTTTTATGTAATTAATTTAATTTAATTAATTTAATTAATTGTAATGTTTTATTATTAACATAGATTACCAAATATAACGCCACTTATACTGCGGCACCAAACTTTGCCTACGAATTAGCAACACGAAAATGTGACGAAAAATCAGTCGCTTCGCTAAACTTAAGTTCTCTTCGAGGTGCGTTCAATGGTGCTGAACCGGTTCGTTGGTCAACACTTCGATTATTTGCTAGAAAGTTTGGTCCGGCAGGATTTAAACTTTCAATGTTTAAGTGCTTATACGGTTTAGCTGAACATTGTGCCTACTCGGTCGGCTTCCAAAATCTATATGATGTTCCCACTGTACTTGATATCGATCCGCAAGTTTTACGACAAGGTCATGTGATTGTTAGGTCGAAATCCGAAAATCCAAATAATATAGTTTCAACCGGCGTACCTAGTCCGGCCATGCAAGTCGAAGTTAGAATCGTGGATCGGGAAACGAGACAACTCTGTTCACCTTGTACTGTAGGAGAAGTCTGGCTTTCTAGCCCAAGTGTTGGTAAAGGTTATTTCGGAAAAGAAGAAATATCAGAAGATACATTTAGAGCAAAATTGAATAATAGTGATCACGGCAATTGGATAATTGATAATGGATGTTTCCTGAGAACAGGAGACCTTGGATTCATGTATAATGGAGAACTTTTCATAACTGGAAGAGTAATTATTATTTTGTGATTATATGATTATATAATATTTATCATAAATATTCTTTACTAATTTCAAATTATAATGTTAAAATCATATAGGAAAAAGATGTTATTATAATTAATGGCAAGAATCATTATCCACAAGATATTGAAGTTTCTGTTCAAGAATGTCATAATGAAATAAGACCGGGATGCGTTGCAGCACTTCATCATTCTGATGCAGAAACTGGTACAGATTCACTTATAATCCTCGCAGAAATTCGCAATCAAAAAGACATTAAATCGGAATTCTTACAACTCATAATTGACGAAATTGCTCGAACTGTTCCTGGAAAACATGGACTTTCACCTCAAAAAATTGTTATTCTTAAGCAGCATAGCATTCCAAAGACGACAAGTGGCAAACTTCAACGATCAAAAGCAAAAGATATGTTATTATCTGGACTTTTAGATAAAAGGATTTTATTGAGCACCGGTGAGATTGTTGTTGAACCGAATTTCGATGTACCGAGTTCGAAACGTTCAAGTTATGTCGTGGATCCAAAAAAGGTCATGAATGTTTCAAGTATCGAAAAAAAGGTCATGGATGTTTCAAGCATCGAAAAAAAGGTCATGGATGTTTCAAGCATCGAAAAAAAGATCACCGTTCATGTTCATAAAGTTTCAAAATTGGCATCGAAATTACCGATTAATGAAATTGATATGAAAGCAAATATTATCACAGTTTACGGTTTTGATTCTCTTGGCGCTGTTCAATTAACGGCTTGTCTCAAAGATGAATTTGGCATAGAACTCGCGCCTGCTCTTATTGTGGATTATTATACAATCGCTGATTTGGCAGTTTATATTTATAACCAGTTAAATGAAAAGGTTTTATGTGAGAATGTTAATGAAGTAATGCCTCTCGAACAAATTCAAAGTAAAATTGCGAGTCAAGTTCATGTTGTATCTAAAGTTGCGGCAAAGATTCCATTAGATCAACTTAATTTCAATGCTAATCTCATTACCGATTATGGATTTGATTCGCTTGCTGCTGTGCAGTTGACTGCTTCAATGAGTCAAATATTTGGTATTGAAATAGCTCCAACATTATTATATGACGTTCATACAATTGGAGATCTGGCAAATCATGTTTATAAACAACTACAACTTTCAGAAAATAAATCGTCCGTGAAAATATCGCAATCACAAGAACATTTAAACAAACCTCCAAAGGAGGAAATACGTTTAATACCATTGGCCCCACGTACCATAGTCAATAAACATAATCCAACTCTTTACTGCGTTCATCCACTCTTGGGAAATGTTGCTAGTTATGTCCATTTATCTCGTAACCTTGGAATTACTCGTCCTGTATATGGTATTCAAGCACCTAACGATGTTGAAAGTGACATTCCATCAATGGCCGAGAGATACGTTAAGACAATTCAAGATGCACAATCTTCAGGACCTTATTTCCTATGTGGATATTCTTATGGTGGTCTTATCGCATGGGAAATGGCCAGAATATTACAAAAATCCGGATCTAAAGTCGGAGGGCTATATCTTATTGATGCACCATCACCCCTAATGAATCGTGTTCGACCACCGCTTAGTGCATATAATGAACCACATAAAATCTGGGAGTCAGATATTGAACAACTTCTCACTGACGTTGACAGTCAATGGATGCACCGTCAAGGATCAAGCGATCCAATAGAGATCGAAGCTTTCAAAAGGAAAGTTGGCATACTAATAGCATCAATGTATAGTCATACAGCAGATATTACTACCGTAGACTCTATCCAATCATTCCCAATTCATTATTGGAGGGCGAAAGATTTTGCAGGAAAAACGAGTAATTTATTACTTGATCATCCGTTATTTAATGAACCGAATTTTGGATGGGAACGTTATCAAGGTACCATTACATTTCACAGGCCAATTCCCGGAAACCATTATTCAATTCTTCGAGAAGACACATCTGGAAGATTGGCTAAAGAAATTGATACGCATATGCCACATAACAGTAAGAGAAGCAGTATGGATTTAAAACCATTAATGCTTGAAAACGTAGCAACCACACCATCGAGTAGATCAAGTAGCGCACCAACTTCAGCCGCATCCCGATCATCATCATCGTCAGCATTTCCATTATTTAGAACCGGAAATAATGGACCTATGAGTAAAAGAGAGGTTGCAAAAATGGCCATGAACGTTCAAATTCCATTACCTGTTGTTATAATTGGAATGTTTGTGTGTGCATGGTTATACACCAACATTACTATACTACTATGATATTTAATAATTTGAAAGATCATAATATATTTCAAACTATATACACTCGTTTTAAGACACTTTAAAAGTATACAAATCTGAAATCAAAATATTTCACTTTATTATTCAAAAAAAATTTAATTAGTAACTTTTTTTCTTTTTTTTTTTGACGTTTGTTTAATTTATCAGATTCTTTTAATTTTCTTTCTTGGAATGGGGATTTTTTGTTTATACAGTACTATTCTTTTTCTTTATTTTGTAATATATTGTTTTACGCGTCTCTGATGCTAATAAAAATGCATATATTTAAAAAAAATTTGTTGATTATCTGAGAAATGTTTACTTTTAAGTGTTTGAAAAGATTTGCTAAGTAAATATTTTATAACTTTTAATTTTTCAACCAATGCAATAATTTTCACGTAATAGACTCGTATACGCTCCCCGTGAATCTTAACTGCGTTTATCACGTGATTAATATTAATTAACCGCGATTTTTTATGATGTCACGTGTTAAATAACTAAACACGAATCAAAACCTTTGATAAAAGCCACTTCTAATCTATGATTGTCTTTAATATATATTACAGTATTATCTTAAATAATCATTGTACGAATTTGATTGTGTTTGGACATTTTAATCATAAGGATGTTTAATGTGAATGATGTGAATGCAAAATAAGCAGGAAAAAAAACTTTGAAGCAATAATTCATAATTCAACAATGCCTTGAAAAAGAACAATGTTAAGGCGTAATCATGAGTTCGAAAGTTCTTGTAAAAATAATATATCCCAATTTAAATGTGACAATGATTAGGATCAAACGTTTCCTCTTATGTCTTTATTATATCAAAAAACAACCTATCGTTACCAAAAAGTAACACTTGACATAACAAGCCGAACTGATGTGCTACTTTTTTTAAAGCAAATCGACCTTTGATATATAGTAACCTTATTTATAATAATACTTATTATCAAAACTTAAACTTAGATATTGTCTAAATGCATACTATCCCGTGAACAGAGTTCAGGGCGGCCCCCAAAAGTCCGGATCAGATGATCCGCGCCACAGCCGCAGTACCTCTGGGTTTGATATAAAAGGTTAGTTGTGTGACCTTCGAGGGTTCGCGAGGGGCCATAGCCGCAGCAAGGTAAATTTTGACTTTACATGTAAAAAACGATTACTGTCTCTGTTCATGGATTTTTTGTTTATTCTATTAAATAACTTTTTTTATTCTCTTAAAGACAATTTTACATCGAAAAGATAAAAATTTTTTCTATATAAACATTTTAACTCTTTATTGGTAGTATAAAAATGACAATTATCGTAAAAGTCTCTTAAAATTTGAACTATATTCCTCTTTCGCATAAAACAACTCAACAAATTACATAACTCTAGGCCCGTAGAACTAAAATGATAGTTATGAAATTTATATTCTTACTTTATAATCATAATTTTTCATATGTAGTCCATTTTCACGAGTAATTCGTACTCGTAATTAAGCTCAATAGAAGTTTTCTTTAATTTTATTAAACTCTGTCATGAGCCTTATAATTTTCTACAAATGAGTCTATAAAAATTAGGTTTATCATATATCGTACACTGTTAATTAGACGTTCGTAGAGAATCGCAGTATGCAGGTATGCAGTTTATTTTTTAAACTCGCCGTCGTCATAATTATTTCGATTAAATCACTGTACATCTTTAAAATTGGGCTATTTTTTGAACTGAATTATTATATAACATTAATTTCAAAGAAAAATTTTTCGGTAATTGTCTCGTTGGTTTACTAATCTTTCGCGAAATAAATAAGTCCTTTAATAACATTCCACGCTTAAACAATTAATACATTTGCTATGAAAGTTTTGAAATTCTATAATTGTGAATGAGCGAATTGGGTTAGCTCAATCAAAATTCGACTTGCTACGTTAGTAATCGCTTATTTAAAATGTTAAATACTATGCATAAAATGATCATAATTGTAATTGCTTTTGTTTAAATTAATCTAGCTGCCATAGTACTACTTACCTCTGTTTAATAAACCTAGCAAAATTCACAGCACAATAAAAATTGTACAAAAATGGTTAATTTAAATATATACCACATACGTACCTGTAAGAACAAAAGAAAAGTCGCGTGTTTAATATAGCATTATTTTAAATGTTACGAATAGAGGAGCCCCGCGGCAATTGTTGTCTTTTCATCAACATTGTTCAGTGTTCAGACTTACGCGATTTCAGGAATTTTTCATTGTTCAAATTAAATCGCATGAGTCTGGACACTATTTTCGTTAAGCGTTATGAACAATTATCTACCTAATCTTATCATGTGCTCGTACTTTTGGTCGTCGCTCTGGCGAACTCCCTCTGGCAAATATGGAGGATCTTTAAAAAAAAAATACTATATAATATTAGTACTTACTTTCAAGAATAATCGTCTCCATTTTCAATCTCAATAACAACAAGATCGGCAACTTCCTTCGCGGTCATATCTTGAGCAACATCTATGCACACTAATAAATGTATCTGGTAAGCCTGATAAATTGTATCTGCTATTCTATTTGTTTCTACATTATTTGTTAACTCTTGAATTTCATATTTGACAAAATTTCCAATATCATCATGAGTCGGCCAGGGCGGCCCCCCCAAAGTGCTGTTACACGAGCCGCAGCTTATAATATAACAATTGCATATAATATAAAATTACAATTGACAAGTTATTAATACTTGTCGATTGTAA